GCCCACTGCACTAAATGGTTAAAGGGTGACTGTAAAGGGTAACTGTAAAATATCTGAGAGTCGAAGTAGCCCGAGATTTGTTGCCCTAGGATCCTAGGACAGGCCCCCCTCCCAACCACAAGGGCCCAAATATACAGCAGAGAGGGGATGAGAGCCACAAGTGGAAGTGATGCGAGCGAGAGAGTAGGCAACTGTGCCAAGGACAGAAGGCTATCACCGCTTTCCCTTTCGTTACTGAGTCACGGGTCCTCCCCACTCCTTCATCCCCACCCCTCTCTGCCTACCCCACCATCTTTCTGCGTAGTTCTTTTATATTACACTCTATTCCTTTTTTTTTTTCCTTTTTTTTATTCCCTTCGCTTAGAACTATTCCGTTCTCGAGATGACAACAAAAATCCTTGGGCTATAACTTCTTGTCACGTATTTTCCTACATTAAACCACGAAGAAAACAAGAAAAAAACAACAACACAACCTAAGACAGATTTTCCTAGTAATCATTAAATGTAAAATTAGGTCAATATGCTTCTATTTTAATAATATATAGAGGTTTATATGTGCATATATATATCCGCAATGTATCAAGTCATATAATTTAAACATTGTTTTAATTAACTGATTTTTTTTTTATGTTAAGATGTTTTGTTAATAAGATTGATCGTTTCACTTTTTTAACTAAACTTTTTGTGTCATTCATTTACATTAATACGTTTTGTAACGAGACATAATCTTTATTAGTAAGTACACCATTGTTATTCTTAAGGAACTTTAATCATGAGCCAATTTCTTGTTACAATTCAAAATTATTGTTTTGTTTTTTAAATGATGTAAACTTCAAACTGTTCAAAAGCAATCCGAAGCAGGCGCGTAAGGTATACCATACCGCATAACAAATCGAAATTCCAAGAAGGGCAAAAGAAATAGACACATCCATCACCTAGATTCATGGGCTAAAAGTCAAAATATAAACCGATTCTAGATTTTGTTTGTCTGCCTAATAAATACATTCTAACAGAAATACTAAAATTTCATAAAATATACATTTTTTTATTCATACAAGTAAGTTTCGCATCAGCTATTGGTTTTTAGTATTATGAAAGTGTACATAGGTGTGATTGTGTTTTATTTATTTTGTTATCATTCGGCTAATCTGTTATTTTATTTATTTTGTGTATTACTTAATCTTTATATATATATATATATATATATATATATATATATATATATATATATATATATATATGTATGTATATATGCCCTTCAGTGTGGCAGACTGTATTAATACTCAATAAAAAAAAAATAAAAAAATAGTATTATGAAAATGACTGTGGCATATACAAACTAACTCAAACGATTTTACATTATAAAGTAAGGTTTCCACTAACAAAACTGCCTTAAGGGCTCAAATTCTGGATGAAAGAAAAAATAAAGTAGGACCTAAGGACCAAACGTGTGATTTATCATTATTAATTCAAGTCACAACATTAATAATCAAAATACAGTAATGATTTAATTTTACATATTATATTATGCGAATAATGATAGAAAGTTTAAGGTGACAAAAGCTATGCAATTAAATTTAGTAAGTACATAATTTACTGAAATTCAGATTGAAGATAAATAATACATTTAATATTTGTTAATAGAAAGTATTACAAGAAATTCGAATTTCACTGTACATAACAACACCGAAATTCAGAATCTAAATTGTACGACTGAAAAGGAGCTGGATGAGAGATCTCCTTTCCTGATTTTAGGATGTAAACAGGCCAGGGAAGAGGTGCTGCTGGGCTCCATTCTTCGTCATGCCTATCATGTCATTTTCATGATGGTGCGGATGAAGATGTAAAGACAAAAAAAAAAAAAAAAAAAATTGTACTTGTTTTATATTTATACAAAACCCTTATTTTCTTCCCTCAATAGCATATAAACATAGTTAAATCACGTTGATCACTAACGGCCGGAGGAGGAGTTAGAATCGACACGGCAGCAGAAGGGATAGTCTCCAAACCGGGTAAATATGTCTTCAAAAACTGCTGACGTATATTTTGGGAGGATGTTTTGATTCAACAACTTTTTTTTTTTTGGTCAGATACACGCTGTGTAAACAAACACGTTCAAAGGATGGCAAAACCTATACTTTCGTTATAGTTCAATCCAACACCTTTATTTTCAGCAATAATTCCTTAGAACATCAAATCTAAATATGCGCCAATCAAATAGTGAATCAACGATCGACATATTGTCTTTGAGTAACATTAAAAATATTCTAATGCTCGTTTATTGCTAACTTTCAACTATATTAAACAACAACATATTCTGTTATCAGATAATGGAACTGGAGCTCTGAAATTGGGTGAGTGTAAGAAAAAAAATCTGGTGCGCGCAACAAAACTTTCACTTACCCCGCTACTTTGGATAGAAATTATTTTCTAGCAATGTTGGTTTATTATAAAATTTTTGAAGTGCATTTTAAACGGAGCTCCAGCTTACAAATATCAAATCATTAAGACCAATAAAATTACAAAAAGTCTATTTATTATATCGACGGTACACAATAAAAATCTAGTTTTATAAACCACATAACTCAAAGCCTTTCAGCACACAGAATGACTAACTCCAATTTCAACATTTTTGAGTAATGTCATTTTAGTGATATTTCTAGTTGGAAAAGTTATATCTATACAGAGAGTTGATTCCAGAATAGGTGATTGCAGTGTTGAAATATAGAACTGGGAATGAAGGTATTTATATTGCCACTAGAAACATTAATAAAATTAATAATAAAAAGTGTTGAAATTGGAGTTAGTCATTCTGTCAACCGAAAGGCTCATATATGCCAACATAGATTTGGAAGTATATCTGAATATTTAACTTATAAATAATAATACTTATAAATAAGTAATGGATTGTAGGACAATTACTATTAAACTGTTAATTTCCAATGTAAAGTTTACTAAAATGAAATTACGAGATTTTCATTTCATTGTCTGCCATGGATAGATCAAAAGTTGTCACACTAATTGCAAGTGGATAATGTTGGTATTTCACAAAGGGAAAATCCATCAAATGATTTACTAATTTAATTTTCTAAAAGGTTATCATATCTAGAGTTATTAAACTACAGAAAATGTATTTAAGGTTATAAACATATCCATGAAATATTTTTATATTTCACTTCTTCATAGTTATATTTCACACAAGTACAATTAAATAGTATGTTAAATAATGGCATTGGCATGATTCGGTGGATTTTAAATATTTTTTTTTTAAGTTTTAAAAAATATTTAAATGTTTACATTTAGTAGAAAAATTTTATTCACTTCCTTGGAAACATGTGATTTACGTTAAATAATGTTAGTTTTCTGAAATTATTATTTATATTTTTTCCGTCAGCCTCCGTTACCTTCTACAACTTTAATTATTTGATATTATTTTTTTCTAATTCTCCGGTTTCCAACGATATATTATACGTATACCTTTTCTGCTGTTATTTCCGGAGATTCATTTCCAATCTGGATAAGCATTTTTCTTTTTTTCTCCAGTTTCCAATTATCACATTCTTTCAAACTTCATATTTAGCCATTTTTTATAATTACTGTCAATAAAAGAGAGTTAATTTTTTTAAATAATTCATATTGAAGGTACTTTAAAGGAAGACATATATGAACATTAGGCATTTGAGCCCTCTAAAGTGACATCAATGGGGATAAGACCTAAATGATATAAAAGACCACCTAATCATACAATTATACATTGAGTTTAATCAAAATCCTATATAAAAACCATAAATACATAATTTCACTTTCTTACGACTTCTCGTTTTTTGAGCTAGACTGCACACAGAGACCATTTTGCGTGACTTGGTTGTTTGGACTCAGGAGACCTCAAAGCATGTATTTCCGTTGAAAACTCAGATTCGAAAATTTTCACGATCGCAATACTTGCCCTTACTATATATTTCATACATAGGTAAGTGAAAGTAACATTACCCTTCTTTTTACAGTACTTATTTATCTTTTGGAGCTTAAGGTGCCCTGCACCAAATTCATCTATTTTTTTTTTTTTTTTTAAAGAATACATATAAATGTATTAATTGCTAATTGTCACCCAGGATTCGGCTTTATTTCAACGTAACTTTTCAATGCTCGTTACATCTATTTATGGATTTCGTACTTTAAATAAGCTTTTTCAATCATTCTAGATTAGTTCCTTAATTTACAAATATTTTATTTTTTGGCTTTTTCATCTGTGAGAAAAAAAAAAAAAATTAAAACTATGGTTTTTATATGAGATTATTCTTATATGATCCAAACAGACATTCCAAACAGTTTTCGTCACTGACATGAAAATGAAAGTACTTTGTATTCATTAAAAAAATTATTATACATAGAAAGAAAAGTAAAATAGATCAATCATAAATTATAGACTATAAGATAGAATCGGTAAGTAATTAATATTAAGAATAGGTTCTTCGCTTAAAATGTATAATTCAAAGATATGTTCGTAATTATTTAAAAACTGGTTCCATTACTAGGTATGTATTTAAGAGAAAACTTCATAACATAACAGGGAACAGGAATTAATCCCATCATCATCATTCCATAGGTTATTATACAACGAAACCCACAACTCTGCATGTTCTCATAAAATTTTCTAAAAGATGGCAACCCTTTTCATGTTTTCATTTTATAAACAAGTGGATGTTACTTGCTGTTATTTCAAGAAATTAAATCATATGGTAATAGTTGCTTTTTATAAGCATATGATCTTTTTGTTCACTAGAGGCGGCTGCCATTTATAGAGACTGGGCGGACACAATGGTTCTACCTTCTAAAGCAGATCCGTTGAGGTTAACATGAAACACAAAATTTTCGCTGTTGAACAAATTTCACTAATATTACTCTAGCATTGGATGAGTACTCTCAACTTTTAATCTTTCCTTCCCCAATGATAGGTAACTTCTATTATTGTTTGAAAATTAATTAGCAATGACTAAATCATGCGGCTTGTTCAAAGACGTGACGTGATTGGCCAAAAAAGGAGCCCGGAAGGTAAGTTATGATGATCTCGCATTCTCATCAACACTTAGCAGAGATGTAAGATAGCAATTTTCCAACGATACTTGGTATTCTTCTGGCACATATAAATTTTCTTTTCTCCGATGTTATGCTTCGTATTAAAAAGTAAGATTCCAAGGCCTAGTTTTGCAAGAGGGGATTGAATGAGTACCTAACCTTAGAGATCAAGTTCTTCAAAACAGGTCTTGTTAAAAATTATAAACTAAATTTAAACAAAAATGTTTGGTGAATTTAAACAATCTGTTTTCACCAACTTCTTCTCACATATTTCTGAGAGCCCAAAATACTTATTTTCGTGAACTATATTATGTACTACATTAATGCCAGGCATGTAAAATGGGCCGAAAAAATTTAAAAACGTTAATTTATAACAATCTATTTTTTTTTTTTAATTTGATAACTTAAGTACATAATTTGAAATTTAATTTAAAAAAAAAAAAAAGTATCAAAACGGAAGCCTAAATAATAAAAATGGGTCGAGTGATAAAGGAAATATATAGAATAATTTGTATAAGGTAAGAGATTACTTCTTTCTTGATAATATAGCATATGTTATGTGAAATTAAAAATCGTTAAAATGAGTAACTTAATCTTACAGAGTATAAGTATTCCAAGCGACTCACACATTGATTTTATACCACTTTAATATGTAGTTATAAATCAGTAAAAAAATCAACAAAAGACAGAAATCTCTTGTTAAGTAATAGGTAGGTTAAAAATAAAAATACCGTCAACTGTTCGCCATTTCAGGCATCATCGGGACGGAAAGAAAAGGCAAATTGAAGATCACAACACTCCATGGCATCCAATCGCCTAATCCATACAATTCGTACATTTTAATATTTTGATGTATTAAATGCTAATCATATATTCAAAAACTATTTATTTTTTTAAAAAATGTTTGCACAATATTATCAAAAGATGAGAGGGTTTCTAATTGCAAATAACTTTAACTTTATTCCTGTCTTTGCTTTATGGCTCGAAAGGTTCTCTTTTCAAATTTTAACACCACATTTTAACGTTCACTATTATAAGATACTGTACTAATTTGAAAATGTTATCATTATAAAAGTTTTTTACCATGTTTATTGTTTTGTTTTTTTGTTTTTTTAAAATGTATTTATTGAGTATTACAACAATCGGTCTCTTGAACATTGGTTATTGTGAGGTAGGATAACATTCACACTATATGTAAAATAAATAGAAGCAAAATAATAATCAAAAGTATATACAATAAATAATAACATAAAATAACCTAAAAATGAGAAAATTAAAACTAAGCAAAAAAAAAAAAAAAAAAACACATGCATACCTATATACATTATTTACAATCAGACGAGGGAACTCCAGGAGAACCCTTCTCTCAACCGCATCATTGCACTAAAGCCAGCTCAGACGTGTTATTGTTTTACAAGAAATTTTAATGTTTAATTTATTGCAGTATTTTTCATACATACCTTCCTCTGGATAGGAAAATAATAAAGACATTAATTACAACGAATATAAGTGCTGAATATTATGTACAATTTGATAGTTTTTAATATTTTTTGAAAACCGGCCGCATTAAAAAATAAATGACTACAAGATGCATTTGAGTTAAAGTTGTTTAATTTTTTTTTATTATTAATATTTATAATTAATTATAAAAAATGTTGACAGGTAAAGAAATGGCAATAATAATAAAATATTTGTACATAAATATATATGTTTTATTTTTAAAAGGTTGAGGAAAAGTATTTTTTTGTAACATAGCTTTGATTTAAACCAATTCTAATGCTTATTTTATGATTCAAAAAAATATCTGGAGGCTCATCTCACATCTTATATTTTTCAAAAATTTAAAAAATGTTGACAACAATTACTTTTCGTACGACAGACTTTTCATTTTAATTTTAAAATACGTTTTTTGCGTTCCATATATATTTTCCCCGAAGCCATGACAGTGGCTTACAAATTAACCAAAACATGTTAAAAATTAATAGAACAATAATATAATTTATGTTTCATTCATATTAGATTCTTCTTTCTTTTTTTTTTCAACTAAATAAGATGATGAGGAAATGTAAATATTTTTACATTAATAAAATTTTATTTTTCAGTTGTATCCATGATTTCGTTATTTTTACATATATGTTATATAAGTTATTACTGAACACAACACTGAAGGACCGAAATGAATTTCTTTTCCAAAGCTAATAGCAGGACATGGGTCGAGGGAAAGGGATACAGCAGGGGCATATCCAGGCAGTAATCATCGAGCAATCTCGACTGATTGTGTTCACTTTTTGTGAGCAGCCACGAAAAAGTACGTGTTTCATCGCCCTACCTATACACCCAGCCACCAGTACAACCAGCACCAGTAACAATTAAAAAAAAAGTAATTTTGTTGTAACTCAACTAAAAAAGTAAAAAAAAAAAAAGGATATAAGAATTATTGAAAAAAATAACTGCTTATACATATTGTTCTTCAGCAAGTAAGATTTTTTAAACATAAAATTACATTTATACATCTGGGGTGTTAGGACAGAAAAAATTGTATAATGGTATAAATGCTAAAAAGAGACAACCGGAATAATTTAACAGAGAAACTGTAGATTTATAGATCGCAAAAAGAAAATATGAGTTTGGACTTAAGGCAGCAGTACAATAAGCGAATCCAGTGATTGATTTTAATTGTAAATTGATAACGCAACCGCAGTTGTTGAGATAAATTCTATTGATTGAACATTATAGTTTCGCTTCCTAACATTTTAAAAAGAAACTTACAATTTAGATTAATTAGAGTGCTACCAATGGGTAGTTTCTCAACATGTGTTTCATGTCTTTATACCAATGTGCAAATTTACTAGATGTATTTTTTTTGTATACAGTTGTAAATATCATTTAAAATAAATAAATAAATAAAAAACAATTTAGATTAGAATAGAATAAAAATAATTTTATTCTGGGACGAAGCCCCTTCAGAATAGGAAAAAATTACAGAATTAAAATGTTATATCTGGCCAAATAAAAACAAACATAAAAAGTAAAGTTAAAGATAAATCAGTAAAGAACATATTAGTTATATATACTATATACAAAATTAAAAAAAATCTATATACAAAACTCTTGAAACCTTGCCAAGACACTTAAAACTACGTACAATGATATAATATAAATATACACTTTAAAAAAAAAAAAGTCGAATCTGTTAATAAGTATATCAGTTATGAGCTATATGTAAATACATTATAATGAATAATATGTAATTTTACATATAAGGTTAGCGGGTATCTGCCTGTTTTTGGGACAGGAATTGCAATAGGAGGGTTATGAATGTAGACAGGAATGAAGAATGCCGAATTTTGATAGGAAGAGAATTCCAAAAATTAACAGAGCGAGCTATAAAGGAGTTTTGGAACGAGGCAGATCTGTGAGAAGGAATGTAAAGGTCGGAAGGTCGAGATCTTGTGGAAAAGTAGTGGACTGGTGACTTGAATTGGAGAAGGTGGTTGGCGTAAGAAGGACGATGATTGTTGATGATATGATAGAGGAATGTACCTAGGAAATATTGTCTTCGGATGGAGGGAAAGAGCCACTCTAACTCAGTGTAGTGGTGAGAGACATGGTAGTATAAATTTAGTAAGTGGTATTAGTCTGAATTAACTAAGAGAACTATAACAGCTGTTCCAATAAAGAGAATCGTGTACGAAGGGCCCTCCCTATAGGGTGAGAGCCATAATTATCGCTTTCTTGTTTATTACGAAGAGAGCTCCATATCATTTGATAAATTTTAAGTTAAGAAAAGCCAATTATCTAAAACAGTAAGAAAACACTTTATAATTTATAAAGTGGTTGAATATAAGAATAATTATTGTTGACTAAAATGATTGGATAAGTTAATAAAACCTCAAAAAACACCACTAATGTTTGCAGAAAAAAATGAATTAATAAGTTTACCAATAAAATTTCAAATAACAATACTTAATTAAAACAAGTTGGCACGTGTCAATAATGTGCATAGTATATTGGTGGTAAAATTGAAATATAATAAGTATATATGGGAAGAGGGTAGCTCAGTGGTTATAGAAACGATTTCCAATGCTCAATTCCCTGTGTTCAAATCCAGCAGATTTGGGTAACTATTTATTCAGTTACATCACCCGTGGATCGATCCTGGGATTGGGAGATCCTCATGGGGCACACCATGCACTAAAGCGGCTACTCTAAATTAAATAATTTAGAGGAAAATCTGGCGGCTTTTGGCCCATTCACATCTCTGCACAAGCGTTGGGTTGGACTTGAAATAGTTCTTCCTTACAAAGTACTGAATCCAGAGGTCGTAATGGACAAACGTGTTAAAGCGTAAAAATCCAGCCTGGGCGTGTTAAAATTTATTTCGTGGCGGACCCGCGGAATGAAATGCGACCCTTCCATTCTGGTTAGAATAGGTTTGGTTGTATTTCTAGAACAACCCTTGCATGCCAGGAATGGCGAAGTAGGGGTATTGATATGAAAAAGGTGGTGCGGTGCGCGCATCATACAACTTTTACTTATCACCCTCTTATCGGAAATCAGTATTTTCTGACAAAGGGGAAGTGAAAGTAAAAATTTTTGTTTGATTTTGATTGACGCTATATTGATTATCAATCGCTATATTGAAGTACTCTTAGTTTGTTTAAATACCTAATCTTCGGACGAGCACGCGCTCGTTCTCGTATCCCTTTGGTTCCTTCATTACAACTAATCTCTGTTATGATCTCTTATTTCTCCTTTAATTAATCATCAAATTCTTTCTTATTTTATATTTAATTATTTGTATATTACAGATCAATATGAAATGGTTAATGGTTTCAAATAAAAAAATTAAAGGTACTTTAGAGGGAGCTAATACTGAAAATTAGTCAGTTAAACCCTGTTAGAGAAGATCAATGAGAATAAAAACTACATAATATTAAAAACTGCTTAATTTTACACTGGTATATCGAGTTTGATCAAAATCGTTAGAGCCGTTTTCGAGTAAATCGTAAAAGTGTACTTCATAAATAATATAAAGTGCCACTTCCGGTTAGCCGCTTTTTACGAAAAATTTCCTGTAACTTCTAAAGCATATACATACCTTAAATGCGCAATTTGACTTTAATACGCCTTTTCGTATTTGAGTTAGACTCTTCACATACACACAGACCATGCGGGACTTGGTTATTTAGAATCAGGAGACCACAAAACATGTATTTCCATAAATATGTATATATAAATGCACTGAACTCAAGACACTTTATGGATTGAAATGTATTTTTTTTAATACATTGATGCAATGTTGTATGAGGGATAGGCACTTATTTTCTTTTCCTACGCCGATTACAATAGGCTTTATCTTTGCTAGTAATGGTCCGATTTCAAAGATTTTTTTTTCTCAGTTTTGTGGGGAATTTAGAAACCATTGCATTAATCGTTCACAACTTTCTTTCTAATAGGACGAGCTTCTTTTTCCCACATATGACAGAAAATACTCTTTAAAATGAAGGCTCAATCATTCGATTCGATAAAGAATTAACCTCAAGGTAGTCGCCAAGGATTGGCAAAAAGGACCACAAGGCCCACTCGCTGGACTAGTTCCACCCACCCACTACCAGTACCAGTATTTATATTCAGGAGGATATAAATTTTTTCTTGAAAATGAAATACTTGAAAATTCGAATTTTATCCCCGCTTTTAACGTTTCGCCCGACTGTGCGACGTTCAAACGTGTCAATTAGATAAACAAGAAGATAAGATTGAAGTTGAGAAGGCGGGAGAGAGAAGAGACATAAGAAGGGAAAGGGCTAGGTAGGACAGGAGAGAGCGGCCGAGTGAGACTGGCCCTTAC